TATAGATGATAATAGATCACTACTTATGGCAGGAGACTTTAATGTAATCTCAAGCATCTCAGAGTATAGAGGCAATGCTCTTCCGGATGTCAATTGCATTTATGATTTTTCCAACTTCATTACCGATAATTCGCTTATTGATCTGGCTACGATAGGCAGCTTATACACATGGTATGGCATCCGTAATATAGGAGCTTTCTGGAAATGGCTGGATCGTTTCCTGATGAATCCACCTCTAAGAGATTACTTTAGGGAGGTTCGAATAAATGTCTTAGCCAGGACGTCTTCAGATCATTCCCCGATCCTCCTAAGCGGGACTAATAACACTTTGTCATGCCCAAAACAGTTCTGTTTTCAAACAATGTGGGCTTCTCATCCAGATTTCATCAATGTTGTTAGACTAAATTGGAACCAGCAGGCTGATGGAGGAGGAATGCGGGCACTGGCTTTTAAAATAAAGCGCCTCAAACATTGCCTCCAAATTTGGAATAGAGATACTTTCCGGAACGTATTTGATCGTATCCGAGTCCTGGAATCTAGTGTGGCAGAAGCAGAGAACACCTTTGATGATGATCCTTCACCAGGTAGCCGGGAATCGCTTCATAAACTCCAGGTTGATCTCCTACAAGCTCTCAAACAGGATGAAATGTTTTGGAAGCAAAAAGGCTTGAGTGAAATGGCTAAAAGAGGTAGATTCCAACACCCGGTTTTTTCACGCTGTGGTTAAGGACAGGCATCGGAGACAGAGAATAAGTGCTATCAAATCAAGTACGGGGGAGCTGCTCACAACTCAACCGGCTATTTAGACGGAAGCGGTATCCTTCTTTTCTGGTTTATTCTCAGCAGAGGACTGCCCAGGAATGGTGGCTTTACTTCAGTGCCTACCGGTGGGCGTGCTTGACTCAGATAAAGCCGGCTTATCTCTGCCCGTCACGAGAGAAGAGGTTAAAGAGGCAGTTTGGAAACTAGATCCGGACAGTGCAGCTGGCCCAGATCGTTTTTCGGGCGCCTTCTTCCGTCATTGCTGGGACATTATTAAAGATGATCTTTACATGGCAACCTTAGACTTCTTTGCTGGTGTACCCGTTCCCCGTGCTTTGGCAAGCGCTTGAATAGTGTTGATTCCCAAAAAAATGAACCCGGACACATTCGCGGATTACAGACCAATATGCCTTTGCACTTTTGTCAGCAAGGTCTTTAAAAGAATAATAGCCTCTCGGCTAAGTACAATCCTACCCAAAATCATCTCAAGGGAGCAAGTTGGTTTTGTTGAAGGCAGAAGCATTCAAGATAACGTTTTATTGGCTTTTGAACTACTACAACATATAAATAAACGGTGTCGGGGTGTGAACGTTGTTGTTAAACTAGACATGATGAAGGCATTTGATCGAGTCTCCTAGCCATTCCTCCGAGCGGTTCTGGATAGATTGGGTTTCCCGGTGTCTTTCATCAACTTAATTATGAACAACCTGGAGGCGACGAGACTCTCTGTTCTGATTAACGGAGTAAGCTGTGACTTTTTCCAACCGACGAGGGGGGTCAAGCAAGGGGATCCTCTCTCGCCCCTCCTCTTCATTCTTGCCTCGGAAGCTCTCTCTCGCTCTCTCATCTTAAAAATGGGTACGGGAGGTTTGTCTCCTTACTCGTCGAGGATAAATTGCCATGTTGTTACTCACTTGGCATTCGCAGACGACATAGTCATTTTTGTCAATGGCTCGTCTGGTTCTCTAAAAGCTTTTTCGGAGGTTCTGCAGCTCTATCAGGACGGTTCCGGGCAAAAAATTAATTATAGCAAGAGTTTCTTCGTCACCTCAAAACATTGCCCAAGCGGCAGGGTTGCGGCTATGTCCTGAATACTGGCAATGCAATGCACCACTTTACCATTCCGTTATCTGGGGGTCAACATGTTCACGGGCAGAAATAGAACACACTATTACCAGCATCTTCTGGAGAAGATTGACAATAAATTACTCGGTTGGCAGAGAAAACTGTTATCCCAAGGAGGCAGATTAACGCTCATTAAACATGTTCTAACAATGATTCCAATGTATACAATGGCGTCTGTGACACTACCTAGGCAGGTTGTGTGATCTCTGGAGGCAAAGTTAGCCAATTTCTTCTGGCGCAGTTTCGAGGGGAAGCCCAAACGATACTAGGTGAAATGGAAGGGCGTTTGCCTACCCACAAATGAGGGCGGTTTGGGGGTTCGTTGTCTTTCGTCGATTCAAGAGTCTGGCTCGACAAAGCTCTACTTCAACTTTTTAAAGGGAGGCACCCTGTGGAGCTCATTCATGCATGCTAAATACCATGAAGTTGCAATGGACCGGATGGGCTCTCTCACATGGGGGAGAATGCGGCTTGTTAGAGATTTTGTTGAAGACAATGTGTCCACCACATCAGGAGATTTAGTGTGGACTCCATCAGTGTATGGTAATTTCATCTTTTCTTTTGCATATGAATCCCTAAGGCCGAAGGCAGGACACAGTCTTTCATCAACAAGTGTGTGGAACATTTTAATCCCAACAAAGGTATCCGTTTTCATGTGGAGGCTGTTAAGGAGATGGCTGCCGTTTCCAGATGTTTTGCAGCCCACTGTGTCGGAATGCAAGTGCGACCCTCGATCGTTGCCTCCATCAATGCTGCTGCACACAGGAGGTTTGGCGTCATTTTAATGGGATTTTTGTCTTAAGCCTGCACAGGGATATCTCGGCTAGAGCGGTCTACCAAGCATGGTGGATTCTGGCTTCTCCCTCGCAGAGTGGTTATATATCATTAATTCCTTGCTTGGTGGTCTGGTTCTTATGGGTTGGTTATAATGACAGCCTTCATAATGGGGTTGCCTTCTCTGCCCAAAGAATCATCAAAAGGATAATGTATGAGTCCATTATAATCTCTCTAGCCCAACCACCACGTTACAAGGGGACAAATGGGGCTCTTCTTCTTGCAGAGGGTCTCATCGCACGTTTGGATATTCCGCTGAGGCGCTCGACGATTTGGATAAAATGGCAGAAGCCACCATCAGGTAGATTAAAGCTGAACACGGACGCCCTCTTTTCATCATCTGGAACAGCGGGTGGAGCTTGCATAAGGGACTCGCAAGGTGAGTTGGTTGTTGGATTGTGCTACCGTCTTGATGCGTCGTCAGCACTGGAGGCAGAGGTACTTGCTTTGCAATGGGCCATTCGATGGTGTGATTCGGCAGTCAAGTGGCCTCATATGGTGGAGGTGGACTCCCTCGTGCTTGTCCGGTTGATAACATCTCCTACAGTGGCGATTCCATGGAGGATTAAGGAAGTTGTTCTCTACATTCGCTCTTGCCTCTCACAATGGGGGTCCTCAATCCGGCACACCTTTCGAGAGGCCAATCAGGTGGCGGATGCGCTAGCGGGGGAAGGTTTAGCCGCCTCCTCACCAAAGCTTTTTCCTTCTCTAGATTGTATGCCAGCAAAATCTAACTTGGTTTTGATGTATGATCTAAGAGGTTTTGCTTTTCACCGAGCGATTCGCCAGTAATAAAGTTTCTGTTTACTTTAAAAAAAAAAAAAAGGCCGCGCCTTAACGTGCGGTCAGTGTAGCCGCTTAAAAAAAGGCACCAATAGTGTTAACAAAAGCATCAATAGTGTTAGGAAAATGCACAACTACACCATAAAACGCACAACACACCCAAAAAATACACCATATATACCTCCCCACACCTAATTTGTGCATTTCTGAATACTATACTTTTATCCATACCTAATGGTGCATTTTTGGTGATGCGTATCTAATGCTGAGTTTTTTGGTGTATTTATGCATTTTTTTGTTGTGTGTTTCCTAACACTATTGTTGCTGCATAACTATTGGTGCGGTCGCATTGACCACACGTTAAGGCACGACCGCACCTGAACTAAGGTATATATATATATATATATATATATATATATATATATATATATATATATAAGTATGATTTGCAACAGAGTATTTGTGCCAATTCAAATACCTGCCTAATACACCAAAAGATCACTCTCTTCCTCCACATCCAATTCTTCCTCTTTGTTGTTTACACCTCCACTAACAGAGTATTGTGCCAATTCAACCGAGTTTTGTTTCGTCTGCAATTGATAAATTAAGTAAAAATTGTGCAATTAGATAGGTAAAGAAATATGAGAGAGAAGTGAGAGGAAACAGATCAGATCAAATATGATGGCCATGAAGAATTCAAGTAGCATGAAATAAGTGCATGTTAAATGGCCACACATATAATATATTAGAGGGATAGAAAGAGACCATAAAAATGCTTTCCAATCCGAACGAACAAGGAGGGCATTTCCATAGTTTTTGTATTGTTCTTCTTGAATCAACTTTGCGGAAGTCATAACGGAATCCGAACAATTGTTTAACTGAATCAATGCTAGTGTGGTGATATGTGCAAAACCAGTAGGAATCTCTTCCAAAGAATAGCAATTACGTAACTACAGGGAAATTGTCACCCACAGCATTCCAATGTTCCCAATATATTTCTTGAATTACCAATCTTTTCAATTGACGGAACCCTTCCTTGGATGCCTCCCACTTTCTGTCACTCGTATAAATAGCACGTTTCAGTTTTAGAACCTCTAGATTAGGCAACATACCAATAAACCTCAAATGACTCCATGCCAAATCAGTCCGGAAGAGTTTGAGCTTTTTAAGATTTGGTAGAAAATCAGTTGCCCATGGGATGCTACTAAATGAAATACAATTGAGATGAAGCCACTCTTTAATGCTTAGATCCTCAAGTTGCCCTAAGTGCACAAAACTATAAAAACAATCTAGATGCTCTTGATTGAATCCACCATAAATTCCCAATGTTTTTTAAAAAAATTTGGAATCCTTGTAAACAAATCCTTTGTACAGAGGTTAGAATTCAACCAAGATATACTCTCTAAGTTTCTATGAACAACGGAAGAAGTTCCTAATGAAACAATCTTTTGAATGCATAAATTCCTTAATAGTGGCATTTTCCAAATTCCAGATGCCTAAGAGGAATCCAATGTAGCATTAACTCCACTAACAATAAAGCTTTGCATATTCCAATTCTCAAAGCGCTTCAAATGAAACTCGTGATATTCTGGATACCACAACGAAAAGTATCTCCGCTTGGAAGAGTTATATTCTTTATACGACAAAGCTAAGTATCTCAAATGAATAAGATTTGCAAGACAATATAGTCCCTCATATTCACGGGAAGATGTTTGCACCATTTCTACTACTCTTAGTAGTTTGAAGTGTAAAAATAGACGTTCCACACATTCAAAGTTATAAGGAAAATGTAAGGAATGTGATCTGTGAAAACACTTTGCCAAAGCAAGTAGATGAGAATCTGATGATGCATTGCTTATCCAACGACAATAGCATTTCATCTTGTAAAATGGAAGTTTGTCATCTTCAATGACATTCAAGAGATTTTCATGTCGAGCTTCTCTCAAACACAAATCACGCAACAAGTCATGTATTTTTACTGTCTTCATTTTCCCATTGTAACTCTTTTTGCTAACAAAAACAAGACTTCTATCAACAAGATCTTGCAAGCATTCCATGGCCACTTCCTCCATATTTCGATGGTCCACTGCCCTAAAAAATCCCTCTGCCGCCCACAACCTAACCAACTTCTTCACAGGCATCTCATAGTCTTCTTGAAAAACTCCAAAATATAGAAAACAAGCTTTTAAGTGGTGTGGTAATTGGTTGTAACTCAAATATAATATTTTGGAACATGCATCATTAGAATCCCCAATTACATATCTACTCACATTTTCTGCAATATTATTCCACTTCTCCATTGCCACCTCTGTCTTGGAGAGAAGACTAGCTATTACAGTAATAGCTAGAGGTAATCCATTACATTTCTTCACTATGTTTCTTCCAATTTGCTCAAACACGGAAAGAAATTTTGTTTGACCAAACACATTGCAGAAGAGATTCCAACTTTCATTGGCATCTAAGAATGACATGTTAGTGGTAGAGTTACCTGAACTTACATATTCAGCCACCTTCCTGAGCCGAGAAGTCGATAGTATACGACTTCCATTATTATCATCTGGAAAGCATCTTTGCACACCATCACAAGTAGTAGAGCTCCATATATCATCCATCACTATCAAATATCTCTGCTCCTTCAAGTGTTTACGCAGACTTTCTGCTAAGTTGTCATTTCTTTGTTCATGGAGTACATCATTTGATTATGCATTAACACAATCAATAAGGCATTGGAGCATTTGTTCCACGTTATAATCTTGAGATACGGTAACCCATGCTCGTTTGTCAAAATGAGAAGTAATTGATGAATCTTCATAGACTTTTCGAGCTAAAGTGGTCTTGCCAATTCCTCCCATGCCAACAATTGATACAACTTGTAATTGGTGTGCAGATTGTCGGGTGAGCTGATCCATTATCGTCTTGAACTCCTCATTGCATCCGACCATTCCACTGCCAAACTTTATAGAAGCGTTTTTGGAAAATTTACTCAGATTAATGTTCTCTCGTTTTGGATCAGGCTGTGCTGAAGTTGAACCAAGGAGTAGTCCTCTTTGTCGCATCCTTTGACCTTGTGATGGACCCTTTGCAAGCTGGTTTTCAGTTTTAATCTTCAACTTCTTCTTGAGGTAATTAGTTTGTATTACAGCTTGAATGAAGATTCCATGAAGCTTGAGGAGGCAAGCAAGACGCTTCGTCCAACCCTTTGCTAGATAAATGATAGTCAACTCCATCTCAATCCTTTCTTCAACTTTGAACGCTACATCTTTGATCTGAGCCTCTAAATCTTTCATCACCGAATTATCATCGGTGGCGATCTCAGATTTCTCAAGAACTTCTTGGAGGAAACCAAGATTTTCGTGTAGAGAAACTATTAGTTGTTTGTATTGAAGAGGCAACCGTGGTTGTGATTGCAAGAAATGTAGAGAAAGAGTTCCCCTAAGCGAAGTTACAGCGGCATAAGCCATTTGCGTCTGTCTATGAGGAAAGATGATCAGAGAAGTACTAAGAAGAAATAAAAGATGTTTGTGATACAATTTAGACAGGAATTCTCAAGTCTAAACAACCATGATTTTAAAATTAGCGGTAGTTGGTTAGACAGGAACTCTCAAGTCTCAATTATATGCTTATTCTCAAATAATTTAATATCAAATGTTTCTACCTATGACAATTATGTCCAATTATTTTAATTAACATTACACATTATTTAACTTGATCTTTTGAGTTATGGCCTAAGTATAGATTCCGTCCCTAAATTATAAGCATGTCCATCTTTGACCTCTCAATTTTGACTAAAGTGATGTTTTTAGTCCCTCAAAGACAAAAAGCTTCAAACAATGTTAAGCACGTACAATGCACTGAGGGTATGTTTGGTTCAAACATTAGAATCATGATGGTAATAGGAATCAAGTACTTGATAATGGTACTAAGTTTAATTAGGATGAGTTTGTGTTTGGTAATAAATAGCAATTGGAATCAAAATAATGTTATACTTCAAAGCACCGGTCCAAAAAGGCTTTCAATAGGCAATTGCATAATGGTTCTAAGTGAAATAATTGCAAGATCGAAGCATTATATTTTTAAATGCAAAAGGGCAGCATTCTATTGGCTTTTAGTACATCATATTAAAATTTATATAGCTTTTTGCAACTTGTAACACTAACTCCGAGTAATATGGAATAAAATATTAGAGGAAGATAATGACAATATGAGACGAAATTATTTAATGCTAAGTGAGAATCTTACAGCTCAAATCTGTCTTCTTTTTTTTTTTTTTTTTTTTTTTCTGTGTCTTGTGTTTATCGAAGCCAACTCCAGCTTGATACTAATCAGGTTAATGGTTTAAAAATCGCTTTAAGAAATATTAAGTAGGGATTATAAATTTATAGATCAGGTTCATGAACACAATTGAATTAGGGTGAGCTTGGAAATAGGAAAAATAATTTTAAGAAAATAATTACTTTTTAAAAAAATTATTTTCATTTACTAGTGTTTTGCTGAAAGTTAAAAATCATTCATTTTTTATTTAGTTAAAAGTAAAAATATTATATTTTTTTTTAATGTTTGATTTGTTTTTTAAAAACATGAACATAACTCTATTACAAAGCTATTTCTTATAAAATATAAATTATTTAACAGTGATAATAATTACTCGATTCGTTACATTTTATGTGTCTACTTTGGTTAACGAGGTTAGTAACATGTTTGAAAATTCTCAAACATACATTTACTATATAAATATCCAACAGATTGTCAGGTAGATATTTAAAAAAATAAAAATAAAAAGAAATGTTTTAAATTTTCCACGGAGGAATCCCCAAATTGAAGCTTCTAGGTGTTCATATTAACGAAATCCCCAAATTGAAGTTTGTAGCTCTTCATATAAATAAGAGCAGGAAAAAGAAGAAGAAGATTACCTAAATTAAAGCAGCATTAAGAAATCCCAGTAGCCTCTCTTCACCCTATCACCACAACCAGATAGCTAAGCTCTACTTCTTCTTCTTCAATTCCTCCTTGCTTAGCTTGTTGGTGCTAAGGATTTAGTATTGTATGGCTGTGGATTTTGTTGTTCGATGCCAAACAGATCTGTTCGAACATTTGATATGAGTTGGTAATTGAGGTAGGTGCAATTTAATAATATAAGAAGAGGGATCAAATTTTTGTATGTATGATTTGGAAGAAGTGAAGTGAGGCTAAAATACCTCATTATTATATTATGCCCATCATGTGGATAGCTCAAATTGAATTAACTTAATACTTAATTTTATTTCATTAGCAAAAAACAAAAAGCACATGGTTGGGGCAATTTTCTTCCGGCATGCAGCAGAGCCTAGTGGCTAATTAATATAATTCAATTTTCACCAAGACTATGTGGTCTAATGGTACCCGGATTGGACTTAATTTCATTTGGAAGGTTGTGAGTTCAAGCCTCAGTGGAAGCGTTATATTCTTTGTGTTTTAGTAGGTTGAGAAAGTATATGAACAGAGTATATGAACAGATACTACAGTGTAATAGAGCCAGTAGCATCCAAAAAAAATATAATTCAATTTCCATCCATCCCTGAGCTCCTCATGTGATTAAGGCACGCAGCGCAAGTGGAGTACTTCAATATTGAAAATTGCAAGAGCAAAGCATTATATTTTTTTTTTTGTTGGGTATACCTGGGGTTTATTTTTTTTTGTTGGGTATACCCGGAGTTTCCACTGTCGGATACAGTGACTAATCCCTTCGTTGAATTGTAACTTGGAGATTTAAGACTGCTCCATTCCAATGACTGCATTATATTGACTTTTAGTACTTCATCATATTAAAATTTATGTGGCTTTTGCAACTTGTAACACTAATTGCGAGTGAAATATATATAAGCGCACTACACAGTGATGTTGAAACTGACGTTGTAACACAAACGATCTGTAACGCAGTTCGAGCAAACAACCCTAATCTGCGAGGCATTTCTCAATTTGAGAATTTAATTGCCTAAATTCACTAAAAGCTTAATATTTAAAGTACATTGTTTGGAACCTGAGATTACACAATAGAATGATCTTTCCTACCAAACTATTGAAACCTAAACACATGTACTACTTTCTAGGGAAATTTAGTATCATATTCTCAAAGACTCTCGTACCTCACAAGATCAATGTTGAATGCTTGATTTCTGTGATAAAGTACAACCCCTATTTAAAGTAGTTACTTCTAATAGATTTGTGAATAATAATGTTATTCCTAATCAAACTAGAACTAGAATGAAGAAAAATAATATATATATTTATATTACATATCTTCTAGAATATTTTATATATGTATTCATAATTATTTCCATATTCTTAGGATCATAGTTTAGGTCAATTCCTAGATGATTAGTTCTCTTACCTTTCTCACTTTTCTTACCGTTAGCATAGTTGTATATATAAACACACATTGTATTTTCTTTTATAGACAACTCATATATGCAATATATATTTTCCTTATCTTTCTCTGCAACAATGCTTGCAGTTTATTCTCAACTCCTTACATGGTATCAGTAGAATTTTTTTTTCTTTTCCCTATTATTTTATCTTTCTGCTGCTCTCTTTTGGCCATATCACTTCACCCCAATGACCACTCCTTCACTAACAGATTCTTCAAACCAACACACAAATCCCATCACCACCATTAATACCCATGAAGACTCAACCTCTGCTAAGCAATCACACAACACCATGCTGTTCCTTTTGATGCAGAGAGTCCCTATTATCTTCATTTTTCTGATGGTACAGGCGCCACTCTTGTTGGAAACATTATTACCGGCATTGAAAACTACAATCCATGGGCTCGGGCGATCACGATGGCGTTGAAAGGCCGCAATAAATTCTGTTTTGTTGATGGCTCCCTCCCCATGCCAGACTCTACCCATCCCGATCATGCTCGTTGGCACCGCGTAAACAATATGGTGATGTCTTGGCTCCTTAATTCCATCCATCCATCCCTTGCACACACAGTTTTATATGCCCCAGATGCTGCCTCAGTTTGGACAGATTTAAAAGATCGTTTCTTTACATCAAATGGACCTCATATCTATGATATTGAGAAAGGCATTGCAACTTGTTACCAATAAGATGCGTCCATTGCAGATTACCACAATCAGTTGAGTGTCCTTTGGGATGAATTAAATCTGTTAGATCCTCCTCCTAAATGTTCATGCTCTGCTCGACATGACTACAATGGGCAAATTGAACGCCGCCGGTTGATGCAGTTGCTCATGGGACTTCGAGAAACTTGGTGATGTGGAAGTAGAGTACACTTTTAAAAGTGAGAGAGTATTGCATTAATAAAGATAGCCTTGGCGGAGAGTACTCTAGAAGTCTGGCTTCCTCACATCTAACAATCGTTGCATCATGATTTCGTTCTATTCAAAGTACTACTCTTTGGGCTTGTATTTCATAGTTGTACAGAAACACAATGCTGAAAATTACCGATTTTTTGACCACATTTCTGATAACCCAAAAAATTGATTGAACAAGTTATTCTTTTTCCTTTTTTTCGTCAAGGGGTGCAAGGGTCAAAACATTGTCGGAATTTCCAACCACATCATATATAGTGGTCGGAAATACTATGGTCATCCCTACGTATACGCAATAATTTGTTGGAAAAGAAAAATAAATAAAATGTTTACTTTAAGAGTAGAAATGTCAATTTAATATATCCGGGGGGGGGAGGGGGGGGGGGAGGGGGGACCGCCACTTTTAGAATAATTGAGGGGGCTAATGTTCTTACATGAATAAATTACGGAAAAAAAGTGCTATAAATATATAACTCGGGAGGAAAAAGTGTCATTTTCCTTAAAAATAATTATTCAATGTTTGTAATGCGTGTCTAGGAGTCAAAACACCTAATTTTATTTAAAAATAATAACCAATAAGAATTGCAGTATCGACTATGTAGTAGAGAGAGGGAAATTAGGAAAGATAATTGATAATTAATTTGATAAAAATAAATAGGAAAATGAAATTACCATATTAACTTTGTAATTAACAGCCAACAAACGGAATTCTTAATAAAGGACTAAAGTGTGTAAAAATTATTAAAGTTAAGGACTAAATAGAGTACAAAAAGTCACTTAAGACTAAATTGAGTAAAATCGCTATAGTTGAGGACTATATTGGGTATTAACTCTAGTTATAATGATGAATGTTTGTATTATGTGATAAAAATAATACACAGTACAATACATGATAATATACAATCAATTACGTCAGTTTGATAGAAACAACGTGATGTGCCGTTTAAAGGGTAATCATGGCCACCAGTGTAGGAGACATTGTAGTAGCGTGAGAGATGGTTCGTTCAGACGAAACAGGTGCAAAGCCATTAGGAATTGATGCCATGAGAAAACCTAGACTAATGATATCATATGAATGTTTGTATTATGTGAAAAAAACAATATGTAGTATAATATACGATGATATACAATACATTATGTAGGATTATGAAATTCAATAGAACTAAGATTGTAGAGTCCTAACAAGAATAAATGTTTTAAAGAGTTGAAGTTAGAAAATGATTTCATATATCTACATGAAAAGGGCAGCACGATCTTATTTTTCATAGCAAGGCAAACTCTCTGCGTTGTGGTCGGTTGAAATCGAAAAAAAAATATGAGTAAATAATTAATGATAAAAAGATAAATCATGTGGCCTTCATACCATTGAACCACAATTTTTTTTTTTTTTAAAGGAGGATTTCCGACCACCGTTACTTGGTGGTCGGAAACAATATTAGTTGCCTGAAATGAAGTCGGGAAAACGTTGATTTCTAGCCGTGTGTGATTGAAATTGATAAAAATTGAATAGTAAAGATACTAAATTGACCGTTTTAAAACTTGTGAACTGCAATTAACAAAACCTCAATAGTTATAGGACCAAAAGTAAAATTTTCTGATTTCATTAATCATTCACAAACTATCCATTCACAAATCACTTATGGCCCATTTGGTTCACGGAATAGGTCGGGAATGGCATAGCATTCCCAGTAATAGGCCTACTCCTTTGTTTGGTAACCATTTCTATTACCAGGAAAAATATTCCTTGTAATACCCTATTACCTCAAATAAGGTAATAGCTATTACTAGGGCCCCCCTGGTATTAGCCTATTACTGAACGCTCAGGAATAGATTTTAGAATCTATTTTCTTTTTTACCCCTTTCTTTAACCTAATTTTTTTTATCCTATATATAAATTTATCCTATTTCACCACCACCATCACCGCTGCCGCCGCCGCCGCCACCACCACCACCACCATCGCCGCCGCCGCCACCATCACCACCATCGCCACAACCGTCGCCGCCCCCACCACCAACGCCGCCCCACCACTGCCACCGCCACCACCACCACTACCACCCCAGCACCACCACCACCATCACCACCACCATCGCCGCCGCCGCCGCCGCCACCACCACCGCCACCACCACCATCGCCGCCGCCTCCGCCACCACCACCACCGCCACCAGAACCACCACCTAGCAGCAGCACCGCCACCACCACCACCACCGCCGCCACAACCGTCGCCGCCCCCACCACCACTGCCACAACCGTCACCGTCAGCCGTCACTGTCACCACCACCACCGTCGCCCCCACCACTGCCACCACCACTACCACCCCAGCACCACCACCACCACCACCACCACCACCACCGCCGCCATCACAAGTTTTATAAGGGTATTTATGTCTTTTAAAACATATTTCATTTCTATTCCTTAAATCAACCAAACACTGTAATATAACTTTTAAAGTATATTCCTCCCGCGAACCAAACAATAGAATACAATTCATATTCTATTCCTTGCCTATTCCATTCCTTATGGAATAGCATTCCTATTACCTCAAAATTCATTCCATGAACCAAACGTGCTGTTAGATTAAAAAATTCAATAATTTTATATGGTAATAATTACATTTACGATTTAATAAATAAAAATTGAAATATTCTTAAACTTCTGTGGTTTAGAGTTGATTTTTATTTTTATTTTTTAATTTTTTTGTTTGTTTTTAGCTTGTTTGGTGATTATAAAATTATGGCACAAGTATTAAATAGGCCCATTTACTACTGCGAAGTGCTCAATTTTCACCACGAACTAAATTAAGTGTCAAATAGGTCCATCTACGAGTTAAATTTGTTCAATTAACTTTTTTTAGAGGTTAATAACATGTTACATATTTAATTATTAAAATAAATAAAATAAAATAAAATAAAATAAAAAGAATACAGCCACCGGCTGTTGAGGACAGCCGGTGGCTGTATTCTTTTTTTTTTTTTTTTTATATAATAATTTTTAAATTATTTTGAAATTATTTTTTTAATAATTGAATTGGTAACCAGCAAAAAAAAGTCAATTACCTGCAAAAAAAGCTAATTGAACAAATTTAGTAGGTAAGTGTGGTTAATTAGCCTTTAACTTAGTTCAAGGTGGGAATTGAGCACTTGACAATAGTACATGGGCCTATTGGACACTTCTCCCTAAAATTATACTAGACTAGACTATTTTATTTATTTTTTATTGCTAGGAAGGGGGAAACCCAAAGAAGTTTACGAGATGCTAGCTATTACACGTAAAGCGCCAAAGCGAAAGGCCAACTACATCGTCATTGATAAGAACAACAACTTCATCCGGCGGATTTTTCAGAACGTGCATGCCTCTAGGGAACCAGAATGTAGATTTGGCCAAGAAATCAGCCACTTTGTTCTGTTCACGAGGAACTAAGTTGAGATGCCAGAGCTCTAAGCTGCGAAGCTCTCTTTTGCAGCCAACAAGGCTATTATGAGCTGCTGATGTCGGCGAGGCTTGTTGAGCACAAAGTTAACTAACTTTGCTGCATCACTCTCGAATACCAACTTTCTACAGTTGTTATATCGTGGACTGCGGTGCACATGCACCGTGGTCAAAACAAGGCCGATTCTTTACTTACAAAAACGGTGTGCCGTTACAGTTAACGGAACGCACATAATTGGTGTATTAATTAGCAACTGACACTACAATGTATTTAAACCGATACTGCCTCACGTATTATTTTATATATTATCAACTGAAACTACAATTCAATTGTAGTGAAACTGTAGTTGTGTTGAAATGAAACTACAATGTATCTAAACTGACACTGCCTCACGAATTATTTTTATATTATCAACTGAAACTGCAATTGAATTGAAATTAAACTGTAGGTGTGTTGAAATGAAACTGCAGTGTATATAAAATGAAACTGAATAACATTTCACATTTTTGAGTGTATATTGTGTAATGAAGTTGTAGTTATATCGAAATGATCATGTAGTTGTGTTTTAATGAAACTATGGTGTATATAAAATAAAATTAAATAACATTTTCACATATTTGGGTTATAATATCGAATGAAACTGTATTTATATTGAAATGAATCTGTAGTTATATCGAAATGAAATTATAGTGTATACAAAATGAAACTGATCTGAACAGCAGAGTTACTTTTTGCGGAATGGCACGGAACGACGCGAAACAGATGACGTTTCTTTTCATTAAATAAAATAACGTCGTTTTGACGCGCGATGCATAATCGATTATGCACCGCGGTGCACGATATAATTTGTCACCTTTCTAAAGCCCATGTAGACTGCAAACTGGATGCCTTTAAGTAAGACCCATGCCTCAGCCTCTAGTGGGGCAATCGTTATACCGTGCACTAGGGCGCACATAGCACTGTGCGCTCCGCGCCTCCCAAAACGACGTCGTTTTGTTAAGTTGTTAAAAAAAAAATCTATTGTTTCGAGTACACATAAACTCATAACAGAATACACATAAACTCATAATAGAATACACATAATCTAACATAATACATAATACACATAAACTATAACATAATACACATAAACTTATAACATAAATACACATAAACTCTTAACAGAATACACATAAACTCTTAACAGAATACACATAAACTTTTAACATAATACACATAAACTCTTGACTGAATACACATAAATTCTTAATTGAATACACATAAACTCATCATAATGCACTACACATAAACTTTTAACTGAATACACGTAATGGGTTTGGTTAACATAATACACATAAACTCTTAACTGGATACACATAAACTCATAACACAATACACATAAAACTTTAACTGAATACAGATAATGAGATTTGGTCTGTCCGGATGGACGGAGTGACGTCAGCATGAAATGCGCCCGTTTTGTGTCTGGGCGCACATTGCTATGTGCGCCGTGGTGCACGATATAAATTGCCCTAGCTGGGAGCAGTAACCAATGTTGTACATGAAGCCTTGTTTCCAGACTCCGGCGTCATCCCTGGCGAGGCCACCTCCACCAGCCCTTGCTGCATTATTGTCCACTGAACCCTGGTAGGAACTTTCAATCTCCAAACACTGTTCCATTTGGCAGGTGTCAGCACTTCCGAAACGCCTAGCGCAATTCCATATGCAGAACAAACAGAAAAATTCCCTGAGTCCTCCTTAGACCAACCGAAAGTGTTATGAAATTAGCTAGATTGGAGTGATGGCAGAGGGGGGATTTGTATTCTTACCCCGGTTTCTCCTCTCTCTCCTGGTGACTAGCATCCACGCACCATACTTCTCTGGGAACCCATTGTTTGGCACAGGGGTTCCAGTCTCCGCTCGGCCTATTGTATTCGTCTGTACACCTTGCTTATGGATTGCAGCATCCTCCTTCCCACACTGATAAAGGTGGTGACCATATAACCCACAGCTAAACCAGACAAGGTGTATCCCCTCGTATTCAATCGGCCATTCCATTTCATTCAATACAAACTTTGAGCGTAGAGGCTTGGTGATATCCACCTCAACATAGAGTCTTGCGAATTTGCCTTTAGAGGCTAAACTTGTAGTGTTATCCATCTTGATTGGACGACCGACCTACCTCCCTATCTTCTTGAGGAACTCCTAATCAAAGTACTCTATTGGTAGGGATAGAAACGGTACGCACACAATGAGCTTCTTGGTCTTGTTATTTATGGGAACAAAGTTAGGTTCCCATTCCTGACCCACAAGATAGTGGTCAAGAACCACCCATGGCCCTTCATACTTTGCCACTTCAAGATTCCTAAGAGACTCAACCTTAGCTAGGTAACTAGATTATACTATTAATTGTAACAGAGTCAATAATACTCTAAAAAAAAAAAAATTAATTGTGAATGAATTTAAAATTTCAGTTAATAAAAATTATATACTAAAAATTTTCAAAAAAAAAAAAATTATATAGTAAAAAGGATGGATTAATTTTAGGGTTCGAGGTGTTATATTTCCGGAGTACTGGACCAGTAAACCGCACAACGGGATTCCAAGTTCCACGTTCAAACTAACAGAAGATTAAAACGCGGGGCGTTCCGAGAATCGAACTCGGGACCTCTTGCACCCAAAGCAAGAATCATACCACTAGACCAAACGCCCAAATATGTTGTAAATATGCTCTTTTATTTTTTTACAAGGGACTCCATTTCATGGTACAAACGTTAACAATCTCTTGTTTCAAGTTTATTTACTGCATTAGTTTTACTTTATATTTAGATTTAGATTTAGATTATTACTATTGCATATGATATACCAGGCTACAGTCTTATCTTTTTGTCTGTATAAATTAAGTAATTAACATACATACTGTCCTTTTTTGGAAACATAATTAGTTTATTAGTCAAATTTAATTTATTTGATGCTCCAAGCTTTTCCCCGAGTGAATGATATCCATATTTACAACTCCAACCCTGAAAATTGCCAACTAGTGACACAATAGACCACTCAACCACTGTTTGTCTAGGTGGGAAGACAACAATAACAACTCCCCCTTACTATGTGGCATAATTTTTTATTTCTTTTTTAAGTAAATGGGATAAGAGTGAAATATGTCATCTAATTATACAATAAATTGTAATTGAGTCATTGAGCTTAAATAGGCCTACTTATCCCTCTTGAATTATACCGTAGACCACGGTCCACAATGCATTGTGGTTCAGGCATCAAAACAATGTCATTTCTTTTAATGAAAAGAAATGGCACATGTTCCGCGCCGTCCGCAAAAAATAACTTTGATTGTATAACATATTCAGTTTCATTTTGTATACACTGCAGTTTCATTTCAACACAGCTACAGTTTCATTTCGATATAAGTACAGTTTCATTCGATATTATACACTCAAATATGTGAAACTGTTATTCAGTTTCATTTTATATACACTATATTCATTACAACACAACTACATTATCATTTCGATATAACTATTATTTCATTGCACAATATACACTCAAATATGTGAAATGTTATTCAGTTTCATTTTATATACACTGCAGTTTTATTTCAACACAGCTACAATATCATTTTGATATAACTACAGTTTCGCTGGACAATATACACTCGCTCCGTTAAGCTGTAACGGCTTTCTTTACTTAAAGAAACGGGCCGTTTTTGGACCATGTTGCACAAAGCTTTATGGACCATTGTCCACCATATAATTGCTGCATAGGCTCGTGAGCAGTTAAAATCTAAACCTACCCCCTACCTATATAGGGGTGGAGCGGGTTGGTCCTATAGGCAAGACCCATTTTGACGGCTCTAATAACAACCAGGGTCGGTTCTGAGCATGTCTAATATGTGCAACTGCATAGGGCCCCCAATTTTTGGGGCCCCATATTTTTTTTAAAAATAAAATTGTATGTATATATTGTATACAGGATTTCAGGCAAAGTGCATGGAGATTGGGCCAATTTGTAATAGGGTGAAATTGACCACAATTGATAATTGCTTTAAAAACTCAATGGATTAGCTTTAATCGACAGTTATGCCATGGACCCAGTCAAAATACACAATTTCTATATATACTGAATGTTCACAATTTACATACTGAATGTTCACAATTCAAATTGTGATCATTCAGTATGTAAATTGTGAACATTTTATATATAAAAATTGTGAACATTCAGTATATAAATTATGTATTTTTAGAAGAAGTTGATATCAAAAGTTTGGTAAATGATTTTGCGTCTAAATATGCACGGTGCATGTCACTTTTTAATGAAATTTTAGATGTATTTTTTATACAATATTTATAATTTGATACAACTTTTGAACAACTATTATTTATATATAGAAATTATTTGAAAAAGGACCATAAATTAAGATATTACACAGAACCCCAATTTTTATTGAAACGGTCCTGATAACAACTACTCTTATTCACCGCAATTTTATTTATTTTTTAATAAGAGAAGCCAGCCAAAATCCCCCAATTCTAAGATTTTTTTTATAACCCGTTCCTTGTGTTTTTAAATGAAAACAACACCCAAACAAATACTACCAAGCTTGAACCGGCAAATTTGGTCCACACTATGTTGTGTGGACCATAACAAAAAGTACATTTTTAATATACTAAATGTACATTATTTTTGTATTGAATGTACATTATATAATATAATATACACTCATAACAAAAATAATGTACATTCCCTGAATACAATGTACATTATTTTTGTACGGAATGTACATTATTTTACAGTAGATAAAATATGGTCCACACAAGTTGTGTAGACCATGGTCCACACAATAATGATTGGCTTGAACCACCCTCAGTTTGGGGATTCTCTTGTCACCCTGATACGTTCTTCTTCTCCCAAAAGGTTGAATCCCCAACCCTAAGAGCCCTCATATCTCGGCCCGATAGAATATTTGAAAGAATGTAAATCACGGTAACTCAATAGCTCAGCAGACATGGCCAAATGTCGGTGCGCACAATGGATATGTCCAATTTGGATGTAGGGTCACCTTGATACGTTCTTAATTGTACAATAAGAGGGCACTTGGTAGCAAGGAAAGTTTTAATTTTTCTGAGAATTTAAAAGGTAGAAAATAAATTCTTCACACGTTTGGTGTAATCTTTGACTTAGGAATGTTCGGGTAAATGAGAATCACATTCTATGATATCAAGGAAAGAAAATTCCACCTAGGAGAGTTGGGATTCTATTTTCCGTGTGGCTAGAAATCTACCAAATTTATTTAATTACAAATATATCCCTTTTTGTGTCAGATTAAAATCTCTTATAAATATAAAAAGGGGAAAATTGTAAAAAATGCCCCTCTATAATATGCCAATTATCAATGTTACCCATGAATTATGAGTGGTGTAAATGTTGCCCATCAATTATATTATCAAAACGGTGCACATATAGCCCCTCCCGTAACGGACCTGTGGTTCCCCGTTAGTGTTTACCGTTAAGTCGGGTAAATATGTAATTTAGTTATTTTTTCCTTTTTGTTTTCATATTTTCTCTTTGTTTTTCCCATTTTCTTTCTCGGCCTCAACAAACAATAATCCGAAAGCGAGCAGCGATGGAGGTGGACTCCAGTAGTGGTGGCGACGGACGAGCTCCGACGAGACCCTCCCTCGATTCGAAGTACTAGCGATGGACAGCGGCAAACTTCAGCGACGTTCTCTATTTCCAGCGTGAACGACAGCTACGAAAACACCAAGCTCGAACCTTGCTTTGTCTTTTTCCAGCGTGAACAAGACAAGGCAGCGTGACAAAGCCTCCCTCCCTCTCGTTCGACATGGGCAGTATTTCCCAGTTAACGGCTCCCTCTTCCCCGGCGGCGTCCCCTGTTTCCGATAGAGCAGTGACAATAACCAACCATGGTGGAACTCCGACGACTTTGTACTATCCCGGCGAGGCAACGTGGAGCTAGGACGATGACAGTTGTGGTGAGCTTCCGACGGAGCAGCGTTGAGCTATGTCTGTGGCGGCTATGGGTAGTGTGGGTAGCTACGGCGGCGGCTGTGGGCTATGTTGGTTGCTTGCTGCCGGAGTGTTGTTTGTTGAGGCCGAGAAATAAAAAGGAAAAAAACAAAGGGAAAGTATAAAAAGAAAATGGAAAAAAGCACTAAATTACATATTTACCCCGACTTAACGGTGTACACTAACGGGGAACCACATGTCCGTTATGGAGGGACTATATGTGCATCGTTTTGATAATTGAGGGGCAACATTTACACCCTTTATAATTCAGGGGTGACATTGATAATTGGCATATTATAGAGGGGCATTTTTTACAATTTTCCCTATAAAAAATTTGTCTTTCCCACCATTACACATTGTTTATCAAAGAAATTTACATCCAGGTACGCAGTTAAAATTTTAGGTAATCTAATATGCAATATGATTACGTAACGATACAACACGTGTGTGTGTATATATATATATGTATGTATGTATGTATGTATGTATGCAGTACTTTATATATATCTTGATTAACTTGACTTTAATTTTTTAGTACTTAATTAATTTGATGACTTGGTGATTTTTTGGCATATGGTTTATTAATTTAGAAATAATTTATTAAACTCTTAATTATTTGTTATGATATTTTTTTTTTAATTTGTATATATGAAGGACATATAAAAATTTTACTGGGGAAGTTTAAACGAACGAAAATGTTAATTAATTTTTTAGGTAATTTAATTGTTATGTTTTCATGTCACACCAAACATGTTAATTAATTTTCCCTGAAAAGTTATTCCTATCAAACATATTCTTTGAAAATATTTTCTCGATAATTTAATTGATGGGGAAGTTCCAAACAGCCTCTAAGAATAAATTATGTAGCTTAATTAGGAAAAATTAATTATGTTTCTAGAATTAGCAGGATAATTAGGATGATATAACTTAATTAGTGGCAGATCAGAGTTAATATATGCCTAAATTAGCATATATAGGAAAATTATGTATTATGTATATCATAATATTGTAACGTTTTATCCGTTACTATTATTATAACATTAGGATAAGTTATGAT